CGTCACAGATCCTCACACAGCAGCCAGTGTGACTGTGAGTAGAGACGGGGGCAGCCCAACCCGCACGCAAATGCTTTGGGAGTGGTAGCCTGGCCCAGGGGAGCACCCACCCACTAAGATGGCCCTGCCTGTGTGACCTCTCCCCACCTGGTGGCAGAGGCTCAGCCTGCAAGAAGGTGCCCCACCCACCAAGTGCCACAGCTTGGCCTGGAACTGCCCACAAGCACAGCAGCAGCCCACATGAAAGCACCCCTCCTGCCTAGGACAGCAGCTCAGCTAGGTGAGCCTGTTGAGCCTAGTGGCTCTCATCAGCAAAAGCGCAACCCGCCAACTGGCTGCGGCCAGCCCATGTGAACCCAGAGTGGCCTGACTCGCACAACTACCAGAAGATGGGATGGGATCAGAAAACACAGCTCCTGACCACCCTTCCACCCTTCCTAGTGGTGGCAGGTGGAATCTGTGACCTGATACACCATAAATGCACCAACAGAGGATCACTTCATCAAACACCATGAAGAAGTACAGTAACACTGCAGAGCAGAAGGAAAATGACAACTGTCCAGAAACCAAACCTGAAGTCGCAGAAGATTACAATCTGAATGACAGAGAATTCAAAATAGTTGTCATAAAGAAATTCAATGAGTTAAAAGGAAACACAGAAGACAGTTCAATGAGCTCAGAAATAAAATTAATAAACAGAAGAAATACTTCACCAAAGAGATTCAAACCCTTTAAAAAAACTATACAGAAATTCTGAATATGAAGAACACAATTAAGGAGATAAAAAATAATGTAGAAACCATAAAAAATAGAGCAGACTTCATAGAGGACAGAATTAGTGAATTAGAAGATAGAAATCTAGAAATGCTTCAGGTGGAGGAGGAGAGAGAACTAAGATTTAAAAAAAAAGGAAGAAATTCTTTGAGAAATATCCAACTCAATTAGGAAAAGTAACACAGGATTATAGGTATTCCAGAGGGACAGACAGAACAACAATGGGAAAGAAGAGATAAAATGGGAGTATGAAGCCCTAATATAGCAATACTCACTCTAAATGTAAATGTACTGAATTCTCCAATCAAAAGACACAAAGTGGCTGGATGGATTAAAAAGCAAGACTCAACAATATGCTGCTTCCATGAAACACACCTCACCTCTAAAGACAAATAGGGTCAGAGTGAAGGGATGGAAGATGATACTCCAAGCAAATGGCAACCAAAGGAAAGCAGGTGTTGCCATACTTATATCAGAGGAAGCAGACTTCAAAATAAAATAGATAATGAGAGACAAAGAGGAGCAGTATATAATGATAAAAGGGACTTTCCACCAAGAAAGAATAACACTTATGAATACATATTCAAATAACACAGAAGCACCAAAGCATATAAAGCAACTAGTAGCAGACCTAAAAGGAGAAATTGACAGCAACAAAACAATAGTAGGGGACCTCAACATCGCACTTACACCAATGGATAGATCACCCAGACAGCAAGTCAACAAGGAAACAGTGGTCTTAAATGAAACACTAAACCAGATGAACTTTATATATATATATATATAAAACATTCCACCCAAAAACAGCAGAATACACAAGTGCACAAGGAACAGTCTCAAAGACAGAACAAACGTTGGGAAACAAAACAAGTCTCCATAAATTTAAGAAGACTGAAATCATACCAAGCATGTTTTCCAACCATAATGCTCTGAAACTAGAAATCAACTACAAGAAAGAAGCCAGGAAAGTCACAAATACGTGGAGACTAAACAACATGCTACTGAACAACCATTGAATCAACAAAGAAGTCAAAGGAGAAATCAAAAATTACCTGGAGACAAATGAAAATGAAAACACAACATACCAACTCTTATGGGATGCAGCAAAAGTGGTATGGGATGCAGCAAAAGTGGTGCTAAGAGGGAAATTTATAGCAATACAGGCCTACCTCAATGAACAAAAAAAACCTCAAATAAGTAATCTTAAACTACACCTATCATAACTAGAAAAAGAGGATCAAAAGGCCCAAAGTCAGCAGAAGGAGGGAAATAACAAAAATTAGAGCGGAAATAAATGAAGTAGAGACTAAAAAAACAATAGAAAGGATCAATGAAACTAAGAGCTGGTTCTTTGAGAAGATAAACAAAACTGACATACTCTTAACCACATTCA